AGAATGCAACAGGTCTCAGTTGGTGTCGCAGCGGTTTCAGCCAGACTGGACTGCTGGCAGCTCCCACGATAGGAGCTGCCATGAGGAATCAAGTGTCGAGACCGATTGGAGACTCCCGGGTCACACGAGCCGGAGATGTCCAAGTGAAGACAGGCAGGGGTCCCCGTTCAGAGGTAGGGTGGTCTTGCTTCAGCCACATCCAAGTCCGATCCTCCAGCACAGGTGTCGAAGTCTGGCCAGCCTTGGGTAGCTATCGGCACTGATATCCGACGCGCTCGCTTCGAGGACCGGCCTGGACAGATGGTGAGGCCAGCGAAGGCTCGTCTCCGACGTCGCGCGGAACCAAGCAGCCACAATGTGGAGGCAAGGACTGTTTAGAGGTGCCAAGAGTGAAGACAGCGTGGTCTGTAAGGCATCCACCGAGGTACGAGACACTTCGGTACGTCCGTAGGCGCGCGGGATATCCAGACAGCCAGCGGGTAGGGAGCCGGGCAAATGTCGGCATGCGTGACGGAAGGGTGCCGTTCTAGCTGGAAGGGGGGCTGGAGGGCGCGGGTCGTATATGTCCTTGGTTATCACGCTGATGTCGGTCGAGCAATGCCCGAGATGGTCAGCCAGAACGATGCCAACCAACAGACGCTAGCCCTCCCAATAGTGTGAGGCGGACGCCCGTCCGAAAGGCCACTGCTGGAATGCTTGCAGGATTCTTCGGCGTTACCTGGCCGTCCAGGTACATGGGACAGCCACGTGTGATGATCGGCCCGCATTGCCCTTGCGCCACGCCAATGCCGTCGCACTTGAACGATTGAAGGAAACGCCATCTGAAGATCGCGCCAAGAACAGATCTGAGGGCGACGCAGATTCGTGTGTGGCGAGGCGAATGTGGAAGCCACACTACTGCTTGGGTCATGTGTGGAGGCGGGGGCGAAACGCCTGCGCTAGCGCCCCTGCACGCCCAGAATGCCCGTATGCGTCATGGGCGGATCCGTAGGGCAAAGAAAAGTGCCGCCTTGATCAAATGGCAATCATCCTCCCCATCACCACCCGGACGCCTCCCGATGGCGAGTTTGCAGCACTCGGATTTTCCCTTTGCTTTCCTTTGCTTTCCTCTGCTTTCCTTTGCTTTCCTCTCCCTTCCTTTGCTTTGCTCCCCCGTCCCCTCAGCCTTTTTCTTTTTCTTTTCCTGGCTTTCCTTTTGGCCTACGACAGACCGCAGCCTCCAGGGTGCCTCGGTTCGCCGTTCGCACCGGCCCTGCTCGCTCGTTGGTCCAGCCGATCGTCGTCTGCAGTCTGCGCGTAAGACATCACGGAACATTGCGACTTCGTTCGCTTGCCACAGACCCACGTCATTCAGACCATCGAGCTTGGACCTGGGAAGCCCATGTAAATAGCAAAACACTGGACCCGACTGCGCACCGCCAAAGCGCGACGGGGTGACGTAACGTGTGCGTACCCAGGTATGTGTCCATGCGTACCCAGGCGTGTGTGGGTGCGCGCGTGTATGTTCATGCGTACCCGGGTACCCCCAGCATACAGTAGGTGAGGTGAGGGAGCACGCTAACCTGCAACATTGCAGGCCGTGGTCGCTCTCGGTCGACATCGCCATGGCACCCGATGCGCGGGCCGTCATCGCCCTGCCTGGATTTGGGTGCGGTCGCCGGTCCCGCACTTGGGGGATCGTATCTCGAGTGTCTAGCGTGGGAGACTTGCACCGAGAGGAAGCAGTCATGACCTTGTGCTTCTGCATGAGCTGCATCGAGGCTATCCCTCGTCGCGTAGCGTAGGCTCCATCGCCTCTCCCGTGTAGCGATTCAGGTTCGAGAACGCTTGTGGCCCTGCCATGCTGCAGCGTATCAGGCGTGCTGAGGTGCGAGCTATGAAAGCGACGGGTCGCATGGGAAGGTGGATATGGCATGACCTGCAGCGGCGGCTGATTGGGTGCTGGCAGCGTAATCACTCGCTTGCAGGTGGCTCCTCGTCCAATGCGACGCAGCAGACACGGTGTGTGGTAGGTACGGTAGGGTAGGTAGGTGGGTAGGTCTGAATCTCTGAGAGCTGGGTGGACAGGCCGGACAGGCTGGCAGAGGCTGGTAGAGAGCAGGCAAAGGGGGATGTGTGTTGTCGCCCAAGCCCTACTGCTGCACCGCCATCAGGCTGGCTGGCTGGCTGGCTGGCTCGCTCGCTAGCCAGCTGTGTCATGCAGCAGAGTTGGTAGCCTACTGAGCCTGCCGAGCCCACATTTGCCCAGCGCTGTAGTAGCGATTGACGTGAAGCTGGGCTGGACGGGGGTGGTCGCAGAGCCCAGCTGCGCGACACACGCCTCTGTGTGAGCGTTAGGGCGCCTGTTGCTAATCCCCAGACTAAGCCACTGGGCCTGCTACCACCGGACCTCTCGCCTGGGTAGTGCTACTGCGCTGGAATGATGCCAGAGTCGCCCCCCCGGTCTAGCCCAGCCAGAGCACTGCGTTTTTGTTCTGTTTTGTTTTTTTCAACTATTCTTTGTAACTACCTAGGCAGATCTCGATGCGCCTCACGCTACAATCTATGTAGAGACGCCATTCGAGGCGTCGCTCACTCCTGGCAGGCAGGCAAGCGAGCGGCAGAGAGGTGTACATGTACAAGTGCAGGGCACACCACTTCGCCACCTTGCTGTAGGCCCTGGTATTTGGCAGAGGCAGAGCCCAAGCCCAAGCCCCTCCTCCCACCTACCACCTTCCACCCCCCCCGACATGCACTGGCACACTGCCGGATTTCGCGCGCATGCATGACGGTGTGTCTCCATTGAAACTCCAGCAAAAATAACGAGATCCAACGCCGAATCCAGTCGCACGTGAGAACTCTTTGGCTGCCAAAGCGGCTTAAGGTTTGCTGTCCCGCTCCGCTGTGCTTGTGCTAGTGCCGCCACCCTTCTCCCCAATTGTCTGCCATCTACACAAGTAGCAGAATTTCGCAGTATCACCAATACCTGCAAACTTCAGTCCCAGAGAGAGGCCTTGTCCAGGACCACCCATTTCGACACACCCGCCTCGACCTTTTTTTGGTCGGCTACAGCATCGATAAGGATGTCGAAACTTTTCATTGGGTTAGTGCCTGTCCCTCCAGGTTGAGGCTGCCTTGCCGTTGACGCTGACGACTCCCCTCTCAGTGGCCTAGCATGGCACACTGACGACCAGACCTTGCGCTCCAAGTTCGAGGAGTTCGGTCAGGTCCAAGAGGCTGTCAGTACCCTCCCACTCCTGCCACCGTCCTCGACACGGAAACTGCAGCTTACTGACCGTGCACAGATCGTCGTCAAGGATCGCGATACTGGACGTAGCCGTGGCTTTGGCTTCGTGCGTTTCACGCAGGAAACAGAGGCCGATGCTGCCATCGCAGCCATGAACAACGTCGAGCAAGTCCACGCTCCCCAAGTCTCCACGCTGCCTTTTTTTTCTTCTTCTTCTTCTTTCACTAACCTCCATTTCCAGGTTTGACGGCCGTACGATCCGTGTTGACAAAGCATCAGAACGCGCCGGAGGTGGTGCTGGCGGCGGCGGCGGAGGTAGAGGTATGATCAAAACCCCCTCCCCCATTTCACTTCACCGAGACCCAGATACTGACCTGATATAGGAGGGTTCGGCGGCGGATACCAAAGAGGCGGTTTCGGTGGAGGTTCCGGCTACGGCGGCGGCAGCGGCGGTGGTGGCAGTGGCTACGGCCAACAGGGCTACGGCCAACAAGGCTACGGTGGTGCATCTGGTGGTAGCAACTGGCGCCAAGGAGGATCAGGATACGGTGCTCCCCAAGGTACGCTCCTTCCTACCGGATATCCTCGTGGAATCCCATTGCTAATTTTGCCCTGCAGGCGGATATCCTCCACAGGGCCAAGGTGGCTACCCAGATCAGCAACAGGGCGGTGGCAGCGGAGGGAACTGGTAGAAGGCTGCTCGCCATCGACCGGTTCTGAGCCCCATGCCAGGCTACTAGCTATCCATCCTTGTCACCCAACGCACAACGAGATGGCTGCCGGAGCAGGTATGTAACCAAGCTGGCGGCACGCATGCTCCCGTGCAGAAAAGGGAAGAAGGCTGTTCTCCACGCCTCTCCAGCTCTATACTAGGTGGACTAAAATGGTCAGAGGCTTCGTGAGGTTTGTTGCGAGATATCCAGGAAGTTGTCATTGAGAGTCTCCTCTTTATCAGTCATGAATGCAAAGTCTACGACCCATTTGGTGCGTCTCAACAAGTGCTGTGTCCAGTCGTGAAGACCCAATCCCGTCGTGGAGCATTGTGACTACGCCCTCTTGCTCGTCCGCGCAAGCTGGCCTTATGGTTCATACCTTCATCTTTGCTTGACCCTCTCCCAAACTCGCCAGAACGCCTTTGTTCCAGCCACACCACAGTACTTCCTTTCAATTAGGTCCGAAGCCAATTGGGACGTCGTACCGAGGACGTATCGGATGGGTTTGACCGTAGAAAGCTCCACGCAATGCTTACAAGTCACATACCAGCCGGGATGATATGGAGTAGATGCGAATGTCTCGCTTGCTACGATGCGAACCATCCATCCGAACAACCGTGGAACTCAGACCATCACCGTGCTTTTGGTTCCGGGCCACCCTTGTTCTAGACCTCCCGTCTGTGCACGCCTTTCCAGAACCGACAGCCCGAATTACAGACTGCTGCTCCTGATCAAGTGTCCTCTCGCCATAGCAGACACCTCATCATGGCCCATACACGTCATCATACCTGGACACTATTACCCTGACAACTCCCAAGGCCTCGTACTATCCCACTCGATAGAGGGCGGGAATGCGTTTCCAGTGTAGCTCAGAATCACGTCCTGCAGTCATTGTGTAAGGACCATAGCACAAAAGAGAAGGTGGCATGGCACGCACACAGTTCCATTGCATTTCTCGCACTATACTTATCCACTCTCACAAGAAGAATAGATAATTTGCGACTAGAGAAAGAAACAGATGTGTACGTGCAAGATCCAAAAGGCAAAAAAATCGATTTGAGCGACACCTGTGTGATTCGAACACACGCCCCCGAAGGGACTGCCTTAGCAGGGCAGCGCGTTAACCACTCCGCCAAAGTGCCTTGTGATGAACTCCTTGAGCTCTTCTTATTGTTGTAGCTTGACGTTTGAATAACATTTATATATGTTCAATTCTTTCGTGAGCTAACCTACTAGAACTGCCTACATATCTTACGATGATAACGAGAGTGTTCACCGCGCTTGGACTGCGATATTCAGATCAGAGGTGGTACTTGTAGGAACCAACTTTGCTGTTGGCACCCCCCACCTCCTCCCTGGTTACAAGAGTAACGTAACTACGAAAACTCAACAACGATGAGATCTCATGGCGTTTTGTCTGGATAGTACTTGGACGGATTTACAGATGTTTCAATTCACAGCTGCTGGAGAATCAATCAGGATGGAGAGAACCAAATTCTGAAAGGCCTCTCATGATTTCGAACAGGTGGCTATAGTAGCATTTAAGCGCCTAAGTACCAGAGACATTGGAATCATCAATGGAACAAGCAGGGCAACAGAACACCTTAATACCCTACCTTGTAAGGTTGCTAGAAGGTAATTTTAGACTTTCTCCTGCGCTTCTGTATGCTACAATAGAGAGAAATGTCGATTTCTTACCCATTCTAGAAATCCATACTATTATATTGGAGATCGATACACATGTCAGGATACATGTACCTTACACAGGCAGTCATGTAAATGTAGCGTTGGTTCATCCCTGCTCCCAGTCCGGAGGTAAGATGTAAAGTCCAGAAATTTTTTGGAGAACACGCTTGCTTCAAGGCTTCAAGATCGACTTCTTCCAACTTGATTTAACGTCCGCACCTGCATACGATTCCTTGTAAATAATGGCACCAGACCTCCAAAACTTGTACTTGTAAATCCCAAGCTGCGAATCTCATCTTCAAAATGGCAGTGGCACTTGATCAAGCGCCACCTCTCAAATTTACCGGCTCCAGATACCTTGCGCAACGGCTTTTGCTTGCAACACTTACCGGACGCACGACTCGCATATCGCAGATACGCCCTTCTTCACATACTTCACCCGGTCTTGCGCCTCATGAAGTCTCCTTCCTGCGACTGCTCGAGAGCATCACCAACGGCTCACAGATCGAATTTTCGTTCACCGGCACAACGGTCGCCTACAAACCTGGCCTGATCACAGGCAGTGCGGCAGGGTATGGTGCTTCTGGTGGTGTTATCCGACACGAGGTACCCAAAGAATGCGACAGAGGTATCAGCTGGTTCCTCGTTCCACTGTGTCTGCTGGCGCCATTCTCGAAGGCGCAGATGAACGTGCTCTTCACGGGTCCCGGTGTGATCACCTCCAGCACTGCCAATGGTGACATAAGCGTCGATACAGTTCGCACGGCTATCCTTCCAGTCTTCAAGAGCTTTGGGATTGAGAGGAACATAGAGCTGAGGGTTCTAAAGCGCTCAAATGCTGGACCAGGAGGAAGAGGTGGAGGAGGCGAAGTACAGCTTGTGTTTGGACACCAGGTCCGTCTGCCAAAGACGCTACATTTGATGAGTGCAGGCAGGATCAAGAGGGTTAGGGGCGTGGCATACAGCACTGGGGTGGCTGGAGCGAACAACGCGCGATTGATCGAGGCTGCTCGAGGTGTTCTCAACCCTTTTGCACCTGACACTTATATCTTCTCCGATGTTTCGCAGGCTCCGTTGATCTCAGCGCCTGAGAAGAACAATCCATCCGCAAGGAAAAAAGTAGGGCTCGGGTATGGGATGAGCCTTGTTGCCGAGACGAACACTGGTGTCATATACTCAGCAGACATATCTTCGGCTCCTGAAGGTGGTGAAATTCCAGAGGATCTGGGAAAGCGATGCGCATTCCAGCTTCTCGAGTCGGTCGAGCGTGGTGGATGTGTTGCAGACGTCACAGCTCCAACAGTCTTGATTCTTATGGCCATGGGCAGCGAAGACGTTGGGAGGATCAGTGTTGGCAAGGACATCATCGGCTCTGAGCCTATAGTGCAGCTTGCGCGAGACTTGAGAGTGTTCGGTATGAGCGGATGGGGGATGAAAGGGGGTGAAGATGAAGGCGAGCTTACTCTAAGCATTGTCGGTAGAGGCGTCGGGAACGTTGGGCGCAAGATTGCATGAGTGTGGACTCAATCATTCACGCACCCGACACATGATTTCGAGGCACTTACAGTTAGCCGGGATGAGGAGGAGAGAGTGATGGGAACGAATTAGGGCGCTCGAAATGCAGGTCTGAGATCCATGCAGCAGCAAAAACGCATCGATCGTACCGATGCAATGTCAGTCACGAGTGGTGCAGTATGGCCTTGAATGACCATCTCTACCAGCCTGGGTGTGTTTCCCGCATTCATAAAAGCATGTCTATGCGGCAGAGGACTTGCTTCCCCTTGAGACTACAGCTGAAACATTGCCCAGCAACCTTGATTACGGGACCATGGCAAAGAGATCGTAGATACGATAGTACGTCATCTACCGCTCTACCGAGCTCTAGAGCTCGCACCGCAATACCTTGGAGCAATATTCGGGGTTCCTGCCTTCATGATACTACTGATAGAGTAGGCGAGGCATGTCATGTCTACATCCGTGACCGCCCGAACAGCCATGGCAAGATGTTAATCACAGGCAACAATTCGGGAGTTGGGTAACGCCAAGCCTTCGATTGCAAAGCAGCATTATGCTCCTGCCTTGTTGGTTCTCTCACAACAACCTCAGATGTCTTGGACCGCTTCCATGCGGACCAACCTGGGCAATCCAGTGACTTTGTCCATATCACGATCTCTTGTAATTTCTAGATACATAGATGCCCTCGTGCTGGTGACAACTGGCCCAAATCAATGCAACAAGCTATAAGAAATGGACGTGTGTACCTGGTTGCAACATGTGGATGACCACCAACCTCCAGAATCGTCGCAGTCAGTGGTACTCGACCCAGCTGTAAAGTCTCCAGCCAGAGTTGTCGCGCCGCATGGTTGGAAACAACGCATTGCACACAGCGACCGCCCTGCGAAGTCTGCAGATCGGCCCACACGCTACGCTGGACAGAAGAGTAGCCAAAAGTTGGTGAATTCCTCATTAGGCTCTTACAACATTTCTACACTCGAAACCTTGGATCCAGACTTTGAAGTTGTTGCAACCGAGCATTCAGCTCATCCTATAGCGACTCTATCCAAGCACAGAGTCACGGAGCAATATCAGCGGCGACCGCGGGATAAGACCAGGGCAGATCGCTATGTGCCAAAAAGACGACCTCATCCCAAGCATAGGTCTACAAAAGCTGAAGTTCACCGCAAAGAACGCAAACTTGATTGGTCACGTCGCAAAGGTAATGGGTCGAAAGCTACCGGCCTGGTGCAAGGCATCCAGCTGAGACAGGGGACCAGAAAAGCTCGGCTGACATTGCAGCCTAACACGAATGCTGGCATCTTTGTACATGGTCGTGCCTCAGTGCAGGTGCCTGCTAAAGGGAATGGGCTCCCGGACCTTGTATTCAATGAGTTGGACTTTCTACAGAAGCCACAAGATCGTCTCGACTCAGCCGATGAAACGGCTGTGACCGGAAAGAAGGAGCGGAACGGACGGCAGGACGAACACATATCGTCCTTTTTCCAGGCGAAAGTAGCTGAAGGGCAACTCGATGGCCCTAGCGGCAAGTCCAAGACTATTTCAAGGACACTGGATCTGCAAATGTCAGATCAGTGTTCGTGTGAAGAACGTGAGTTTGATGCCAGGCAAGATGCCGGACAGAAGCACCGACGCGCTAGCACAGAAGTGCCAGCAAACACGAACGCACATTCTATAGAGACACCCCTCTACAGTCGCGGAAGTCATCTCAGAGCCCATGAGAGGAAATTATGTGAGCATGGATCCGCCGACTGCTCATGGTCTGAAGCAGGGCAACCTGAAACTAGAAAGACGCATTTGACTTCACCTAAAATTGCACACATGGGATCTTCTCTGCGATATATAGGAGCTGTACCGAACCTTACGAAGACGTATGCCGCTCATACAGGCGCGAATGATCATCATTCTAAAAGGTGTGCTACTCTCCCAATGTTAGGCCAATCTGTGCCGTCCACAGAGAGCCAGAACGAAGATGCTGTTAACTACCATACGTCAGATATTCTAACGGTTAGAGAGTCCACTAACGCCAGCGTTGACGGCGAGTGTGAAAAGACTCAAGGCTTCTTGCACCAAGCACATGGGTACGTTGACCTATCTTCTGCGCAAAACATTTTAGCAAATGCACACTGCGCATTGCAGCAGTATACGAACAATTTCGAGTCTGTGCAAGCAGATCATCGTACACATCTTGGCAATCTGCCCGGTATTGGTAACACATGATCAAGGCGTCACCAAGTACCAGAACCAGCTCCATCAGCCATTTGCTCCATCTATCAAAGACTCCGATAGTGAGTCCGCGCGTATTCGAAGACACAAGCGTCTCCCCAAAGTACGTAATACGTTACCAGATGCCAATGCCCGTTACCGCCATGGACGACGCCGCGATCACCTGTTAAACCGGCATGTACAGGCAAAGGATGCCGATCAGGCCTCCGACGAAGAAAGGCATCGACTTGATAGTGAGCCGATGCTTATGCAGCCTGAAGAATGGGAAGTCGACTCCTTTAGAGGAATAACCTACGCAACCCAGGAGGATGTTGAACGGGTAGCGTTTGGGACAGATACACCGCATGAGCCGTCTAACAATGAGCCATACTTGAATGTGACCCCTTACGCAACAGTTTCAGCACATTGTACTAACGGATATCGATATCAGCAGCTTGATGAAGAGGATGGGCTGTGCACACATGCAGAGAACTTTGCCACGACAGAAGATGACTTGTGGCCTAGAGACATGCAAATTTCTGACACGGCTGGAGCTGAAGATACAGAGGCTTTCAATAGCCCCCAGGATGAAATGCTTGACGGCATGAATACATTTTGGCGGCCGCATAAATTGTGTTGAGACTTCGTGTACCTGCCAACCAACTTTTGAATCGTTGCTGAGATGTCGGGTTCCATTCCACCGAAGACACCACTCGCTCATCAGGCAGTAACTAAT